TTAATAGTTTAAAATTGTCTAAAATTGTCTTTGACACTTCGATTAATTCGAAATTGACTATAATAAAAATACTCGGAGAAGTAAGTTTAATGCAAGCTAAACGTGCCCAAGTTTTNTGAATTACTCGACAATATCAAGAATATTGTTGAAGATATAATTAGAATTATTGAGTTTAGCAACAGAAGAGTTACCAGATGTATTATAAAATTGTTGATGAAATGTAAGATTTTTGATATCTATGATTTATTTACTATTCTTAATTTATGCATAAATAATTGATGCATCATGTATTTATTTCAGGTAATGAAAACATGAGCTATACAAAAGCATGTGCATGGGACAGGAAAATTAGTAACATTATATGGATGTCTTATAAACATATCTTTAAGAGGGACAGGATTTTGCGGAAGTATTTTATGAAAGTTCCGTTTAAGCAGGGTAATATTACATGAAAGACAAAAGTCCAGTCAGTTTTTTCTATTATATATATTATATGTTTCATCGTTTTTTGCTTAATCTAGCTCGACACAAACATGAGAGGTAGATATAAGGCTATTCATTCATGAAGCGTCGCATCCGAGAAGTGACATTGCTCGCGATATACTTTCATGCAGCGTTCAATGTAAAATAATGGATGATCAACTGTGAAGTGACAGTAACTCGCTGTCGTCACGAATTATATTTATCATGACACCCTTAATTCATAAACACATAATTCAAAAATCCTATCTTGTATCTTGTGATGTAGTGGATGCATTTGATTCTATAATGCAAAAATAAGTAAATATAATTTAAAATAAATGTTTAAAGCAAAATACACATATTTTAATACGTATTAATTCAGTTAGCTCATAATTACCAGCCCTGGTAACAATAAAATTCATTGTGCCATGTTCTCTCATATTGTTCCCCAACTTGTAAACAAGAGTGGACACCATGGGAAGAAGAGATATGATTATCCGAAACTATAAAAACGAGGCCCAAGACTTAAATAATCGTAACCGTACATCCTGCCCTTCCTTAGTTTTAAAAGCTTTTGAAAGAAATGTGTTGGCATGACGTGACCCTCAGTGAAAACGATGTTTAGGACATTAACTGAGGCCGGCGTCTTCGTCTTAGCTATTATTAGGATATCTTTGAAATCGCAAGCAAGCCAACGATTGTTTCTTCGGTTCACTTTGACATCGACAGAAAATATTTTCTCATCCGAAAAAAAATGTCATGCGCCCTGCAACTTCGTTTTTTCAAAGAACACAGAAGCAAATTACAGTGATGAACTCTCTTCATCCTGGCAGTCTCAGAGAGCATTTGTCGAACTTATATCACATAGGATTTCAAATGTAGGTCTTCTTCAGCAATTCGACGCATTATAGTGTTACTGACAGCCAATGTTTTTGTCAGTTTCGCCAGAAACTGCTCTGGATCCTCTGAGATGACTGCTGGAGCTCCTACAGACTTTTCTTTCGAATGGCTCTTTCTCGTTGGATTTGCAGATCCTTTTTTGGATCCTTTTTTTCTCGCAACCAGAATATTTAGCCGCAACATCATAAGTGGATGATCTCGAGTATCCAAATAACCAAGTAATTTCAGTCCACGTATGCTCAGCGCGAAGTCCTTTGATAATCGCCGCTTTTCGGTTGTGAATAAATAAAATACCAACGGCAATCTACCGACAAAGTGAAATAAGACAGGAAATTAAAATTTTAGTTTGTCCGGATTTTGACGACGGACCCTGTATATATTCCCTCTCTTATTAGCTGCTCCACTGCCGCAGCTAATAAGAGGGGGTATATAATAGAACCTTGAATACACTCTGATTTAGAGTTTTGCCTGTTTCTGAGAAATTCTCCATGATGGTAAATGTTTCCATTATCCATGGTAGCAATTTTATGGAGATATTGTTTAGGTTGAAAATTGAAAGACTTTGATAATTTGAGTTTATTCGTACCAGTATTTGTAGATACATAGGATGTCCCAAAATTATGATACTTTCGGGAAATAAGGGATTTCTGAGGTTATTTGAAGTAACTTTTCCCTTAACAAAAGTGTCATCCGCAGCTTTGTTTATGAGTTATTAACGAAAAACACTGACCAATGAGAGGCCAACTCGGTTGGCACAAGGCGGCCGAGCCAATGAGCAGACAAAGCCCAGTTCCGTTCATTGGTTCTGCCGCCTTCGCGCCAGCTGATCTCGTCTCTCATTGGTCACCGTTTTTCGTTAATAATTCGAAAACAGTACAGCAGATTGGATTTGCGCTAAGGAAAAAGTTATTTCAAATGACCTCAGGAATCCCTCATTTCCCGGAAGTACCATAATTTTGGGATACCCTGTATATTTGGGATAATTAACTTTTTCGAGAAGTATCCATTGACCCGCACAGAGATTCATTCGTTGTTTAAAAAATCATATATGAATTGGAGCATTTTTCCATTGACATTTTGTTGTAATAAGAGTTGATACCATACCATGTCATAAACCTTTTCAATATCGATGCTATTGGCTATTAAGTGCTGTTTTTTATGGATTGCTTCACATATGCTATAAAAGCGTTTTTCTTTTCCTTTATTGTGTCCTAAAATTTTTGGTTCCACCATAGCAAGTTCTTGTTACCTTCACTGCTAGTTGTTTTCGGGATGGAATCCAAGGCTGCTTTTGAACATTTTGAATTTCCATCTAAACGTCGTTATATTGAAAATAGGGAAATGATCGCTATTATAAAGTTCAAAAGTACAACGTCCACGGAGTTTAGGAAATTAGGATGGTTCCGTAGCTGTGACTAAGTCAATTGATTACCAAGCGGAGGTTCCGGGTTAAATTTCCGTGCGCTATTCTCATTTTTTTCCCCCAATATCCTATACGTATTAAAGTGAGTAGGTTCCATATTGTTCAGTAAAGTTGTGACAAGTTAAATATTATTTTTTCAATTATTTTTCCTCTGACGTTCGTATTCATTCAGCCCCAGATGACAGTTAATGTAGTTAATGATAGCCTCATGTAGTGACAATTAAAATCTCCAATTAGCAGAAAAAGCTTAGGGAGTTGGTATATTAAATTGATTAATTCATCTTCTTGAAGAAAATAATGTTTGGTATATAAATGCTTCCGATGCAAAATTTTGTTTGGTTTAAAGTAATTATATATAATGTTAATATATAATATTATATATAATGTTATTATAAGTTATATAAGTAATTATATAACTGCTACTCAACAATTTTCTTATCAAAACATTATCAAATTCATGTTCGGATCTTACAAGCTTTTCCCACTTATTGGTTCCATATTTTGGAAAAATTTACTAAACAAATCACATTTTATTGTCCCTGTTTGAATCAATGCTCTTCAACAAATCAAAGAAAGTCTGAAGGTTGCCAGCAACTTTGCTGCATATTGTTATTGGTTTTATATCCATTATTGTAGAATTAAAGTAAACATAGATCTAGATTTTGTTCTTAAAAATTCCCTGGAACCAAACTATCTTTTTCTCGAACATCTAAATAGTAGACCTTCAAACTTAGTTTCCTTTTTTATGGATGAAAGCAAAGGAGGTGAATGGGGTAGTGTAGTGCGGCGTTTTTGTATTCAGAGTTAAACACCTCAGGTTCGTTTGGTCTGCCTAAGAAAATATTTATTTTCTCTGATAACTGTTTCGCGATCAAAAAAGCCATTGAATCAGCGCTGCCACTGAAGTTGCCAAGAGAAAATGTTATTACTAATTCAGACTCCCTAAGTGCCCTACAGTCACTATTAAACCTATCCATCGGTACCGGGACTAATCCAGCACCGCTCAATGTAAAGAAAACCATAAATATAGTAGTTTCTCCCTAAATGACGCGGGATGTGTGGTATTAATAACCGATAGGTATAAGAATACTAAGTCGCGATACTTCGAGTAATTTTTCCCGGAAATGCCAAAGTTTGGGTTGCTGTGATTTATTGCTACTGTCGGTACTAAGGGTCGAGGGAATTGGTCAAACGTATGATGCAGCACGCGACGCAAATTCCCGGAAGACAGCACAAAATGGTCTGTTTGAATATGAGTCAAATAAGAAAAACTGCAAAGCTAATCGTGGTATGTGGCCTCCGAATCGTAGCAAAAAATTAGAAATAAAAACTTAGTATTCCCAGATCTGCCGGTTTGAATTCCGACCTCCGAACATTTCTGAGAAATTACTGTAGTTGCTGACATATCATAAGAGAGAGAGAGAGAGAGAAAGATAGAACGAAACTACCTGGAAAGGCAGTGGCCAGCATGCCGGTGTACATTACTATGCATACAGGTTGTCCCAAAATTATGGTATTTCCGAGAAATGAGAGATCTTCCTGAGGTGATTTGAAGCAACTTTCCTTTACAAAAATTTCTCCGAGGCATCGTTAACGAATTATTCATGAAAAACACTGACCAATGAGGGGCGAGTTCGTTCGGCGCTAGGCGACCGAGCCAATGAGCGGAACCGAGCTCCGTGTGCTCGTTGGCTCGGCCACCGCACGCCAGCCAAGCTCACCTCCTATTGGTCACTGTTTTTCGTTAATAACTCGTAAACAAAGCTGCGGATTGCATTTTCGCCGAGGAAAAAGTTATTTCAAATAACCTCAGGAACCTCTCATTTCCCGGAAGTACCATAATTTTGGGATACCCTATATATTGTAATGATAGAATAATGATAGAATGATAAATATGATAGAATAAAAACATGAAAAAAGCATGAAAAGTTTTTTAATATATTGGTCAGATTTTTCCAATTAAAATGATACCAACTACGATATGCTTTAGATCATATTTATCCATTATATGTAGCAAGTAACTTATCTTATTTATGAAAAAGCATCAGAAAAACCGATTCTTAATATAAGAAGGTGTGTATGTCGTTCGAAAGAAAATATCAGTGAAGTTATGCTATTCGAGCCTATATTCAGCTATCACTCGGAGAAGAGATGCATTCATTCGACGGATATTCGACGAGCTTACACACGTTTGACGGAGTATGTGAAGGAACAGTTTATTGAATTTTTTCCATTGCATTGACACTTCATCGGATTTCTGGTTGGAAATTACAGAAAGTAATATTAAAAATGCGTAGAATAAACTTATTCCTTCCATTTAGTCAAACACAACAAATTTAGAACTTGTTTGGCCAAACATGATAAGTGCAATCACAGAAGAACAATGCACGCCAGCACGATTTTTATTAAACTGTGAGGAAGAAGAAAGAAAGAACAAAAATGAAAAAACAGAAGTAGAAACGGAAGAACTTCAAGAAGTACCGCTTGAGAACAATAAATTACGTACGGCCTTTGAGGAAGCAACATCTCACAGTGCAAGAGAAACATCTTACATACAACACATGGTGCAGAGATTAAAATTATATTTCTTGGACAAGGAAAATTAAATAAGTAAATTCGTATTCATATGATGCTAAAAATTTGCAGCCGATTTTGAGTATGAATTATTTATAAATTAATTTTTTTTTTACATTTGTATTTGTTATTAGGAAATGGAGGAATGCAATCACCGTAGGTCACGATACTATACGATTCCAAGGATGATATACACCACAAAACAATTCAATATAGAATATAATTTTTTACAATGTTAAAATTAAAAAGGTTATGTCATTGTATTATGAGTAGTCTGTCGGGAATTTGAGTCAAAGGAATCGCGTCCGCGAGCCACAGCACGCGCGTTCATCAACTCCGTCGAACCTTCGGCGAAGCGAGAAAATCTATAAATTAGAGGGCAGTAGCAACAACATCACTTCATTCATGGCATACCAAGATTTCGTCATTTAAATTACTGTACTACATTTTTCGGAAACAGGAATTTGTTTCTTTAC